GGGAGTGTTCTAACCTCATTGATTTACATGTAGCTGTTCAGTTTTCCCAACACCACTTGCTGAAGAGACTGTCTTTTCTCCATTGTATATTCTTGCCTCCTTTGTTGAAGATGAATTGACCATAAGGGTGTGGGCTTATTTGTAGGATCTCTGTTCTGTGCCATTAATCCACATGTCTGTTTTTGTGACATACCACACTGTTTTGATTACTGTAGCTCTGTAATATTGTCTGAAGTCTGGGAGGGTTATTCCTCCAGCTTCCTTCTTTTTCTTTAGCATTGCTTTGGAAATTCTGGGTCTTTTGTGATTTCATATAAATTTTAGCATTATTTGTTTTAGTTCTGTGAAAAATGTCCTTGGTAATTTGATAGGGATTGCATTTAAATCTGTAGATTGCTTTGGGTAGTATGGCCATTTTAACAATATTGATTCTTCCAATCCAAAAGCATGGGATATGTTTCCATTTCTTTAAGTCATCTTTAATTTCCCTAATCAATGTTTTATAGTTCTCTGTGCATGAGTCTTTCACCTCCTTGGTCAGGTTTATTGCTAGATTTTGTTTGTTTGTTTGTTTCTTGATGTGACTTTAAGTGGGATTGTTTCTTTACTTTCCTTTTCTGATATTTCATGGTCAGTGTAAAGAAATGCAGCTGATTTCTGTATGTTAATCTTGTATCCTGCTACCTTGTGAATTCTTTTATCAGCTCTAGTAGTTTTTGTGCAGAGCCTTTAGGGTTTTTTATATGTAGTATCATTCATCTGCTTATAGTGACAATTTTACCTCTTCTCCTTCCAATTTGGAGTCCTCTTATTTCTTTTTCTTTCCTGATTGCTATGGCGAGGACTTCCAGTACTGTGTTGAATAGAAGTGGTGAGAGTGGGCATCCTTGTCTTGTTCATCTTTTTGCTGTTGAGTATTATGTTGGCTGTGGGTTTGTCATAAATAATTTTTATTATGTTGAGATATGTTCCCTGTATACCCACTTTGGTAAGAGTTTTTCTCATAAATGGGTGTTGAATTTTATTAAATGCTTTTTTCTGCATCTATTGAGATGATCATTATACTTTTAAGTAATAACCTTCATTCTGTGTAAATCACTCTAGAATTATTAACAGCTTTGATGCTGAAACATGATGCTGTTCACCAGAAATTCACACCACATTGTGACCTGACTGTACTTCAATTGAAAAATAAAAACAGCAGCCGCTTTGGTAGTACTAGAGGTGAAGGTACTGTTTCTCATTAGTTTACCAAATGACTCCTGAGATCTATGTATTTTGTTTTCTAATGAGCAAAGTTTAGAAAACAAAGACCAGGGGTAGGTACAGCTCAGTGGTAGAGAAGGTGCTTAGAATGTGTGAGGTCCTGGGTTCTAGCCCCAGTACCTCCATTCCAAAAGAAAAAAAGGAAGAAAGAGAATAAAGACTAATTCAGCATATTGCAATAAATAGGTTACTCTTTCACACCAGCCAACTATTGATCAGCCACACTCCGTAACCAAGGATCTTGCAACAGTTCTTGCTTTGTTCTTACAGAGTATTTATGTGCCACATCCTGTCCTTGAAAGCACTGTTCACTGTTTTCCTTCTGGCCCCTTGAGATCAGGCATTAGAATTTTAAATCTGCCCGGGGAGCAGCTAGTTCGAAGCACTGTTGTTCCCTTGGTCACGTTCATGGCGTTTTGCCAGCATGCGTTCATGTCCCCCTTCAGATGTGGACAGCCAGGCCCGCCACATGGCCCTCAGCAGCCTCTTTATGGAAGTGCTGATGATGATAAACAACGCCACCATCCCCACGGCAGAGTTCCTCCGGGGCAGCATCCGGACCTGGATCGGGCAGAAGGTGCACGGGCTGCTGGTGCTGCCGCTGCTGACGGCAGCCTGCCAGAGCCTGGCCTCCGTCCGCCACATGGCCGAGACGACGGAAGCCTGCATCACCGCCTACTTCAAAGAGGGTAAGAGGACGGTCATCTCAGGCTCTCACGACATCAGTCTTTTCCAGGAAGGGTGGAAGCTCTGTCTGAAGGAGGCACCTCTCTAGACCCTTTGCGGTCAGCGATTGTACCACTCTAACTTCTCCGTAAATGTTATTGATGTTTCGGAAGAGAGTGTCTTTTTCATAAAGATCTGCAGGTAGCGTGAGGACCTCTGGCCCCTGTCTGTTGGTACCATCACATTTCAAGGGAGGGGACCCCTAATTCACTCGACATGGGTGTTGGAATGTCAGACCAGTTCTTTTATGGTAGGCAGATCGTGAATGTCACAGGCTCAGTCTAGTCCTAAAAACGAGTGCTATAAACTAGAATCTGTATAATAATCCACTATATTAAATTTCTCTATTTTGTCACTTGTTAAAATGAGTTTTCATGGACGTCCTTTTATTGCTTGTTGTCATATGTTTTAAACTATTATGATGAGGTTCCCCCCACCCCCTTACCTTTTGTCTTTCTCATTCCCTACCTCTAATCTCTCAGATTCTGCAAACAACCTGGTCTGGTTAAGAATTGCTCAGAACAGTACTTCTCAACTCTGATACCCAGATAGACGTCACAGTACACACAGTAGGAGAGAAAGAAGGGTATCGGAGTGAGAATGCCAGATGATGCCTGTAACCTGCCCCCTGCCCTTTCTGGACAACACGTGAACAATCCACATTCTCCTGTGGAAGGTGCTGTGTGTCAACATGTCACCCCACCCTCATTCACCCCAAGAACCAAGACCCATTAGGATAACACTCTTGCTCCAAATTTATTTGCTATTTGTTGCTAAAATCAAATTCATTTTTTTTCAATTTGTGTAACATTTTCAAGAATTTCTGTCATGCTAGGAGTCAGACTAAGCTTTGATAAGTGAAAACTGCTTTTGATGGCTAGAGTAATGATAATTTCTCTTGGAAAATAGAAGTTTTCACAATGTATCTAAAAATGCTATTAGGCAAAGTTAAAATTCTTAGGTAACTGGGGCGGCCAGTGTCTACATGTGATTTTAATGATTATAATATGGCAAGAAAGGTGATTTATGAAGATGCAGTCCTGAATTCTGACTGCTTAACCTCTGCCCCGGCCAGCCAGGTGGCAGCCCGAGGGCTGTGAGGCTTGTGGCCTCCAGGGCCAGCGTGAGTGGTGTTTTCTTGACCTGAAGCGTTTGAAGTGAGCAGGTTTATCAGGGTAATTTGAATAACTGGATTCTTGCTTTTCTCTTGCCTTCTCCTCTCGGTGTCCTTTTCTTAGGCTCCCACCATCAGAATTTAGGATGGGGCCCCATCCTGGTGTCCCTTCAAGTTCCTGAGCTCACCATGGAAGAGTTTCTGCAGGAGTGCCTGTCCCTTGGCAGCTACCTGACCCTCTACGTCTACTTGCTGCAGTGTCTAAATAGCGAGCAGACAGCAAGGAACGAAATGAAAGTGCTGCTCACCTTGAACAAGTGGCTGGAGCAAGTGTATCCGAGGTGCGCCGGCCCTGCGGCC